AATAACGTATTGATTTAAGACTTGATATCGCTAACAGCGCGAAAATTGCGCTAGCAGCGTGCAAGCGAAAAACGCACACGGGCCGTAGAAATCTTTGCTACACCCGCTGGACGGTTGCCTGGCAGAGCAATGCAAACGTGTCATGATCAACAACATCGAAGAATTTGAACAACAGTGGAGATATTTTCAAATACCTTTTATAAGACAACGCGCAGTAGAATGGGTGGAACTAGAGTTTATTTTGTCATAAGGTAGTGTGATTATGCATGACACGAAGTATTTGCTAGTTTAGTACTGGAGAAATTAGCGTTTGGATGCGCATTGTGAGCCTTTAACATTGAAATCCCCTAATATAATAATTTCCTGCTCATTGAACCTGTCAGCATTTATACTAATATTTTCCAATAGTTCGAAGAGGTTGCCTTGTTTTGGTGGTCGAGAGCATACCCCGGTCAATATTGGTTTCGATCTTGGTAGTAAGATATCAACCCATATAGCTTCTAGCCCCACTTTATCCATATCAGTTCTTATATTATATGCTAAATCATTCCTGATGAAAATACACACCCCACCACCTGATCTATCTCTATCCCGCCTTTCTACACTATAATTTTAAATTTTAAATTCAGAGTCATCAACTGAATCATCTAGCCAGGATTCAGGTACCGCAATTCTAGCTTGCATAGCAATATATCTAAATTCTTCTATTTTAAGAAGGATACTGCGAGCATTTAAATGAATGAAATGTAGACCTTTCTTTTGGGAACAGCTGAATTCTGATGAGTCGCGATGGCATGGGTCTACTCCTGTTATTATTAATCCTGTGTCTCGTTGAAACTTATCTGCCGGGTCTTGAAGTATAGTCAGCTTGGAGCTCCTAGGGATTGTTTTCTCCGATGCTAGCACGATTGATGTATCCTGTGCTTCATCTGATGCCTTGAGGCCCCAACCTTCTAGTTTTCCTGATGAACTTCAAGGAAGTTTCCAGACAGTCAATCTCCTCCCTTCCTGGTTAAGTGTAGTCCGTCATGGGAGTAGAGGTCCCGCCTGCCCGCGAAGTCTGCCCAGTTGTCTAGAGACGTTACTCTACTTGCCTTGCACATGGTCCGGATGGTGTGGTTGATGGACATCAATTTCTGGTTGATGTCTTTAGATCTGAAACAAGGTATTGTACCTGAAACTACTAGCGTCCCTGTTATGTCTGCTGCTGGCTTTTATAATTAAACTTTGTATTTCCTTCCTAGCTACCTCTAGATCCTTGTTTAGAACATCATTAACCCCTACATGCATAACTACTGTGCCCTGGCTATCTGAAACATTTACTATCCTATCTAGTCTTTCCTCTATATCTTTTGCTCCAACCCCTCCAAAAGTTACAACAGACATATCCTTTCTATCCCCATCATTGCAAATAGCTTTTACAGTTTGCCTAACTATCGAGTCCCCAATAACAAAGGTTGTTTAGGTAGCCAACTTCCTTTGAGTTCCTTGACGATGTATCTACTATTTCCTCTTGCCCCATCTCCGTTGGAGAGTCACGGTGTATCTCGTCTTCTGACTCAGGAGTGGTGTTGAGCTGATCCAGAACCTCATAGCTGTCCTGATCCTCTCTGCGCCTCAGCAGGTCAACCTCCTCCTTCAGGCTCTTAATTTCATCGCTAAGTGCTGCCTTTTCCTTCAGCCACTCCCCCTGAAACTTACATAAAGCGCAGTCATACACGAAATCATCGGGCATAACATCGTCGGTGCATGTTTTCCCATATATCCCATCTATTACACTTACAACATTGAGCCCATCTATTACCAAATGTATCTACTTTCTTTGATGTTATCTTCTTTTGACCCATTTAGCTTACATTAGATCTATCAGTTTATACTTTATTGCCCAGGTTAGAGTTTATTTATCTTGTCTATGGGTAATTTAGAACTTTCCCGCCAAAAACCAACTAACAAATATGGCTGCTACCCTCTGCCTTTCTAGTCTAAAATCTAGCTTAACTTTACTTTTAACCGTATCCTCCACCATATAAGTTAATAGAATGAAAAAGTGCTTCCTTTAGGAGTAAAGTAGAATATCTTTCAGTGGTCGTAAGCGCTGAAAAGTCGTATTCTTCACGTAACAGTGACAGCTGCATGCACAAATTATAGAGGGTCCCGATTTCTGCAGTCCCCCGTTGTTTTGTCAAAATTGTTTCTGCTGTAGTTAGGGAGCCATTTTTTTCTTCTGGACAACACAAAATCAGCATTATTAATTTGATTACCCATGCCAAGCCCTGGCAATATCGAGCAGGGTCAGTGTTAAACTTTGCAATCTCGCCAGTGGCAGGATATACAGCTGATATAGTTGTCATTTAAATAAAACACCTTACAAAATAGCTCTCACTTACCTTGCAGGATCTTAAAGAAACCGGAAAAAGTGCAAGTTTCTAGTAGTTGAACACCTGTTATTGCATTTTGTTGCAGAACAATATGAGCCACCACTGCTAGTCGCCTTGCAGACTGTTAATTAGACTGCAACGGACAGGCGGCAGCACTGTTAAATTATTTATGGCCACCCAAGGCCATAATAAATATATTTTTTGTTTGCCCTCACCCGACCAACCCGGCAAAAAGGAGCCGATTCAAAAATTTTCATTTATTTATTTTTTACAAATTGTATGACTACATTATATAAATCTGTAGGCAATACATGATATGTACCAAGCAAAACAAACATTCAACATAAAAGGTATCTCCACACAAGCACACCCGAGCATGTAGACACAATGCTGAATTTGTAAAAAAAAAAAACCTCAAAAAAAGCCTACCTACCTACCCAAACTTTTCAGCCTGAGTCGGGTGAGGACAAACAAAGATTTCTTTGCTTGTGGCCCAATAGTGAGAGAGCTGAGTGATATTGGGATTGACTAGTAATTCGATAGCATGGAAAAGGCTTTTTTGCTAATGATTTTGTATATTTGTTCATAGCTAATTCCATCTGTTCCAGTGAGAGCAGTATGTTCGTGTTAAAGCATCGGCTTATCTTGAAAACATGTGGTAGAACCACTTTGTTGGATGCCATCAAACCATTACGAGAACTGGCTGACAAGCATTGTGGGTTCAATAAAGTGCAGGTTGGTATTTTTATCCTTCAAAGTGTGCAGCCATAAATTTTACTTAGTGGCTCGTGCTCCGGTAACCGGACCACTAATCCGTGCTCCAGCAATCCCAGAATGCACTGCAAAGTCATGCAACGAGCATTTCTCAGCGCAATAGAAAATGGCGGCACACGAACCTTGTATGTTTTTTGTTGGGCAAAAATTTTCCTTTGCATTAAAAAAGGAAACGAATACTGAAACGAGCGGAAAATACTCAAGTATTACACTGTGAGCTACGCCTGTGTTTTTTGGAGAAAAACTGTTCATTGCAAGAGGCACAGGAAAGTCAAATTTGAATTGTGATTGAAAAAGCATAACTTGACATTGAGCGAGACGATGACTTTGCAATGCATTCTGGGATTGCTGGAGCACGAGCCAATAGAACTCCCAGTCCGGTTATCGGAGCACGGGCCACTGCCTAAATTTTATTGATTTAAAGTAAGTGCATTTCTAGATGCCATGTACAAAGAATCATAGAGCACTAGCGGTATACCTTTTATACTCAGTTGGTGACCGCTTGGTTGAAAGGAAAATACCCAAAAAAATCAAACTATCTATCTATCCATGCATCCATCCATTCATCCATCCATTCATCCCATTCCATGCCATCCCACCCCATCCCATCCCATATCCTATCCGATCCCATCTCATCACATTTAGTCCCATGCCATCCCATGCCATCCCATCCCATCCCAAACAGTAAAAAATAATAAGAAATCAAAAGATAAGACATTAAATATAAAAAATAAAAATAAATTTTTTTTAAATAATACATACTAAAGAGCTTTAGGTAAAGGGAAAAAAAGGAAAAAAAGGGGGAAATAAGTTTCCCAGCTGGGACTTGAACCCGGAATCCCGGTGTAGGAGACGGATGTTCTAGCAATTAGGCCACTGCACCGTTAAGGGTATACCCCATGGATTCACACGTACGTGATGCTAATCTATTGATGAATAGAATTTTTAGGAATTTTTCAACTTTTTAACTTTTTAAAATTTTTGTTTTAGCCAGAACCACCTCCCAGACGTGCTGATTCTGAAACTATCTTTAGTTTTCCTCTAGGCTGCGGAGTTTATATAATTTAGATAAGTTTCAAAACAACCCCTACTGCATACGTACAGTTGGGTGCTCTTGCTATATCTTTAAAATAACATTTTTATATACAGTGTCTAGGTGGCATTTTATCATACCTTACTCTGGTAAAGCGATACACTAGGACGGGGGGTTATGTTTTGCTTAGCACACCACCCATAACAGTTTGTGTATGAAAGTGCAAACTAGGTCCTCGCACAAAGTGACACTATAGACTTGCCCTAATTAAGCATTGTTAAAATCTTTCTACTTCCAGGATATTTTTTATTCACACAAGAATCTTATGCGGCCACATATGCAGGAGGAACCTCACAAGTGCTTTGCTAAGGAGGTATATTTTGCGTGAGAATTGTGGTGAGGAAATCGTGTTTTTGATAACACCCTTCGATTGCAAATTTGTCAATTGTGGGTGATGATGTTTTTTATGGTAGAATTGAAATTGAAATTGTTTCTTATTTGCTCATGTTATCACTGCTTTTATGCAGTGCTATGCATAATAATTTTGGGTTTTGTCATCAGCCCCTTCCTACATACCAGTATGTATTCTACCAGGGGTAATTTGTTGTTGTTGGTATTTGGGTCTATTTCTAGAAATCCATTGTGATATACTAAGCTGCAATGAATGGACTTGTCTATTTCTTTAGGTTGAAATCCTTGATGAGCTGTTTGACAGTGAGTAAAGTTAAATTTCCAATGTAAATAAGTTGTTGGGTGAATATTTCTTGTGTGTATTGTTGACCTGTTGAAATGACTTGTTCTAAGTATCAGGATTGTGATATCCATCTGCAAACAGATTATAAAATTGTGTACTTTAATCTAATAATCGGTGATCTATTGCTTTCCTTGTACACATGTTACTGTATAATATTATATAGGTGTACATATATCGCATGTCTTGTGTGTGATGGTCATATTGTGCAACTTCAGATGGTGAAGCCTACTGTCTGGGTAAGGTGAACAGTGACTGCTGGTACCTCTACACTCTGAATCAGTTCTGTGATCCAATCTTAGTGCCTGACCAGACCCTCGAGGTTCTTGTATCCTTTATAATGAATCTAGTTGTATTTCAACAACCTATTAAATTATCGAAATTCTTACAAGTATCATTTTGCCTTTTTGCTAGCAGCACCTAGTTTGATACCCAAATAAAATAAGTACAGGCTGGTTAAACATAGTTACTTTCAAACTGTAGTGTCACAAGTTTATGCGATACATGTCAAGTCTGCAAGAAGACAGCATGCATATATCATTATATAATATAATATAATATATATAATATATATATATATATTATATATATATATATATAGAAAGAGAGAGAGAGAGAGAGAGAGGGTGGGGGAAAGAGAGAGAGAGAGTGAGAGCGAGCTAATTGCCACATTTTGCCTTTGAAAAGTTGGTAGAAAACTGTTAATAATCGAAATTTACATGGAAGATGAGACTACAAACTAGTACAAGGGCCAGAGAGCTTTTTAAATTATGTTACATGTCTACTACTATTAGTGGAGTTGGATAATTATACAAGTCGCCATGTTGAACACATTTATTAACAAAACAAATTACGAACAAGATTATGGATTAGCCGCTACATACTTAATACGTGACTGTAAAGTATATTATAATATCAAAGAAGTCGGCAAACTTGATACACTGTGACTTCACACTTAATTACAAGTCATTGTCCTCTGAGTAAATGAGCAGTTATCCCTGACTGATAAGTTAATATTATTAATAATAATTATGGAACCAGTCGGCAAGCTGAAAAGACCAGACCTAGAATAACTTTTCTGGGCTTAGTTTTCATACATTGAAAAGTACAGTAATTTATTCAAGATGGCTGCGCCAATATGCAATATGCGCTCGCGTGGTTCGGCATTTATAATGGCGGCTGGTTGCGATAACGATGGCATTTCTTGCACAAGATTTCTTAGCCTCGTGTATAAGTCGCACCCGTGATTTTTAGCTCACCTTGACATCGTCAAGCTGAGCTATTGCCATGGGTCGTCGTCCGTCGTACGTCCGTCCGTCCGTCCGTCAACATTTGGCTACGGTCAACGATAACTCAGGAACCGGTTGACCCACATAACTTGGGTATAGTTGTTACTGCTATGCTCCCATATTAAACGTCCTATTTTGGAGCACGCCAGTCGACGTACTTTCGAGCCACAGCAATTTTTTGTCAAAAATGGGAATTGCCATGAGTCAGTTCAGGTTCAACGGATTTTGCTCATTTTTGGTATGTGAATGAATAAGGGCTAGGGGTTTTGATATAAAAAAAAGCAAATTAGGTAGGGTTTCACAATTATATAGCATATTATATAGACACGCAGATAACAAACAGTCTGTGGTGTCACACTCGTCTGGTTCGTTTTACAAGATTTCATTGACAATATCTTTAAAGCAAAATTCCTGCTATGAACATATTATGATTTATACTATTATTATTATATTATCATTATTATGATATAATGATTTATGCTAAGAAACATCAAAGCTGGTATAGCGCCATCTACCGTCCCAAATTGTGATTCATTTTGGTTTATAAATTATTTATAATTTATATATAATATTATTTATTATTTTCACATAAAAAATTACACATATAATTATCAAGAGTATATAATGGGAGTTCTCCCATATATACTCTTCGTTTCTATAATGTACGTCGATGGTGGCTCAATTAAAGCTGACTTCTTCTCACTCACTCATTTGTGTCCTTTTTTGTGGTGAGCTACAGTGTCATTGACACTTTCATTTTTATTGAAGTTGTGTATGAAAATGTGTGACTTATACACGAGTAAATACGGTACTTTAACGACTAGTCTAGAATAAGTTCATGGTATTTCATTGGTTTATTCCCGGTTGGCCTACTCGATCCCATTTTGCCTGCACCAAAATTCCCAATCGACCTACACCCATTTCGCCTACTCCCAATTCGTCTACACTTAAAATCTACCCCATTCCCATTTCGTCTACGATCGGTTTGTTCACTAAATAAACATTTATAAATAATAAAATATGGTTTTGATTGGCATATATAGAGTACAGGAACCAGAAGCAAAACATAGGTACAAATAATGAGAACACAACTTGTACATTGTAGTGCAATGGGAGTAGGTGAAATGGGAATATTGCCGATTCTGAGAGTAGACGAGATGGGAGTAGGCGAAATGGGACGTAGGCGAAATGGGTGTAGGCGAATTGGGAGTAGGCCAACTGGGATGTTATCTTTGCATTAAGAAGCATTCTTTCCTCTCTAAAACAAGACAACTGCCTGTCTCTACGACACTCCTAGGCTCTTGGCTCGTAATCTTGCCTCCTACAGGGCTCACAGCTGTCTTCTGACCAAGGATAACTCGACTATCTCACATCTAAACTAGCTTCGGGGGTGTTCAGGTAGTTCCATGATGAATTTATGAATGAAAGGCATTTTTGTCATCATTGCTGGCTTTTGTGGGGCGTCATTGGTGGCTTTGTGACTGGAGACTGGATAAAGAAGGACAGGGGCCGAAACTCTTTGATTTGGTGTTTTTGTGTTTACGTTTGCTGTTAGCTCTATCCACGTAGCCCTTGCGCTCCCTGAAGACCTAGTCTAGTGTCTCGCTCCGTTTTTGATAGAGTCCCTTGGAATTTGAAGACCAATCTTTATTAGGGTTAGTAATATTAGAGCTAGTAGTGCTGCCTAACCCTGCCGCTGCCTAGGTTAATGAGTGTAGTACATATGTAGCGACGTAAAATAATATTAATGCCAGTGAAAGTTAACAGGCGACAGAGTAAGTTATGCTGAAAGCCCATAACAGAAGATCCTGCAGGTAATTAGTATCAATAGTCGTTCACGTGCGTATTGAGAAAGGTGATAGGGGACCTGATTAATATCCACTGGGCATACCATCCAACTACAGTATATGAGGAGGCAGGCAATATAAGTAAATGGAGACCCAGAGCTGCGTTAACGATTAAGATTATAGGACACCTTGAAGGACACTTGGACCACTGTCACTGTCACTGTCACCTACACGTCACCAGGACACGTGGCCACGGAAAAGCCACGTCCATGGTATAATTACGGGCCGTAATAGGAGACAGGAGAGGAATAGAATGAGTGAGGGGAGCAATGGCTTAGAGAAAAGAGAATGTACTAGGGAGGGGGCTTACAAGGCAGTCACGTACTGTTGAGACTGTCGTCGTTGGCGGCGGCATCCGTACGTCTGGATACGATGGTGTAGCACTTGAGTAAAATTTCCTTGAGTGGCTGTAGAGACCCACTCTGGAATGGCAATCTCTCGCACAGTGGCTGCAGATGAAGGAGGATGACTCTGGCAGAGGCTGCCTTCGCTTTCCGCTTGGCTCTCTTCTCTGCGATGGTCACTTCTGGTGTCTTCAGCCCTCTGCACTCCGCTTCTGACAGCAGCCTTCCAAGTTTCACGACCGTCTGCTATGCCCTCCCAGGTGTTGGGACTGATGCCTGTCAGCTTCGAGTCCCTCTGGCACACATCTTTGAAGCGGAGTTTCGGTCTTCCAATGGGCGTGGCCCTACACAAAGTTCGCCATATAGCATGTCTGTTGGGATGCGCCCAGCGTCCATGTGGCGCACATGACCCAGCTACCCAAGACGTTTCTGGCTGAGTAGTGGGGGCATGCTTGAAATGCCTGCTCGCTGAAGGACATCTGTGTTGGACACTCTGTCCTGCTACGGAATGTGTAGAATGCGCCTAAGGCAGCGGTGGTGGAGGCTGTTAAGTCGTTTCTCTTGACTGGCATACGTTGTCCAGGACTCACTGCCGTACAAGAGAGTGCTGAGTATACAGGCTTGAAATACGGGCAGTTTGGTGCTTGTAGTCAGCTGGTTATTGATCCATACTCTCTTGTTCAGTCTTGCCATGTCGGCTGGAGCTTTGGCGATTCTTGTACTCACTTCTGCGTCTAGGGAATAGGAGCTGGATATAGTTGACCCTAGGTAAGTGAAATTGTCAACCACTTTAAGATGGCTGTTATTAACAATGGTGATGATTGGGGGAGAGTCAGCGTCCTGAGCCATGATTTTAGCTCAGCTGATGAAGTCAGATGCAGCTTGTAGAATCGCATGATTGTCCGTGCATCCGTCCGTCCGTCCGTGCGCCCGTGAGTGCGTGCGTCCATGCGTGCGTCCGTCCGTCAACAGTTGGTCATAAATCTTAACCGCTCGACGTACGGTCTTGATATTCGGGATGTTGGGGGGGGGGGTCGCGAAAAGGACCCAGGATGTCGAATTTAGTGGTCAAGGGTCAAAGGTCGAGATGTGTCAATGGAGGGGGAATATTTCCCCGAGAACTTAAGGTATATCAGGAAATACGGAATTACGGCACAAATCTCAACAGCTTGACCTACGCTCTTAATATTCGGTGTATAGTTTGATGGGGAGGAAACCAACCACCAGCGTGAAATTGGAGGTCACAGGTCAAAGGGCAGTGGGGGAAAGGTCAGATATCAGACATTTTTTGAGGACATGGTCTAACGGACCGAGTGCAAAACTTTTTTGTTTCAGCTCTGACCTACCGTTTTCATCACATTATTGAAAGCACCATGAAATCGACTTTCCGCTGACGTGCGAATAATAAGTGTCTGATAACCTTTTGACCCTCGAGAGGAGGGTTGAACATGGATTTGTTGACTGTTAACAAAGGACTGAACTGCTTTTGCTATTAGAGCCCCCTCCACGCTCCCCCACCCGTCCCTTCTCCCCCTCCCCCACCCTCCCCTACCACCACCACTACGCTCTCGCTCGATGCATATCCATGATAACATGTTAATATAGCGAAGTCATTAAAGTTACACAGCTGTATCTTTATTACTGTACTACTAGTAGGTATAGCAAAGCCTATCATAGAGTTTAGATCTGTATTAGTAGTATCCTAGATATATGCTCTGAGCGCGAACGCGGTGGCAGGAGGGCGCACTTGATTCGGTTGCCAGTGACTTTATCAGAAGAATACCTGGCTACAGTACACGTCAGTTTAGCGCTGTCGCTCTGTGGCACTTGTTGTCTTCTTTAGGCTGA